TCTACCTCATCTTGTTCATTCTCCAAAGGATCAACCTCCTGTATCACCGGAGGCTCTACCTCCTGTGTCACCGGAGGCTCTTGAAGCAAAACGTACAACTCAATAGAGTCGTATCCAGAATAGACATGGCTGGAAATCATATTCTGGAGATCCTCGTCATCTAGAACTTCAACCTTATAAAAAATTTCTTGGTTGTTTCCAAAAAAAATTGGATTCTGATAAAATATTTGGGACACCGGGCCTCGTTCAAGTTTGGCCTCCAATCTTTTCTTGAAGTACGAGAAATTGGCTTTCCCGTTTAAGAGAAATAGAATGTTGTCTGTGTTTCTAAACAAAAACCCAACTGTGGGACAAATGTATGTCTCACCGTTGAAATGTGCTTTGACGACAAATTATGGTGAAGAGGCCATTGCGTAGAATTGTTTTAAGGTTTGAAGGTTGGAATGTTTGAGGTTTATTGATTGTATGAAGGTATGAATGCTGTAATGTTTGAAGGTTGGAATGTATGAATTTGATGACTGATTCGAAGGTTGGAATATTTGACAGATTATGTGAATCAATGTTATGTTAAACGTAAGGCTAAAAATTTCAATTAAGTAAGGATGCAACCCCCCGAGGCTGCCAATAATATTATATGCAATAATGAAACCCCATAGGCTGCCACCTAGCCCGGCCCTATTCTGCACATATACATGTTTGTTGTAAGACTCCACCCATCAACTCCAATGGGCTTGCATGCAATAATGAAAGGAATCCCAAAGGCTGTCACGTAGCCTGAGCCTATGCTGTAACAAATGACACCTCTTATTCGCCAATTGGGGTGGTGACACCATTCATTTTTGTACTCTTTCGCCAAGTCCAATGGCGCCTCCCTTACTGTCCAATCGTGATACATGCATGGGCTTATGAAACCCCATAGGCTGCCACCTAGCCTGGCCCTATTCTGCACATATACATGTTTGTTGTAAGACTCCACCCATCAACTCCAATGGACTTGCATGCAATAATGAAAGGAATCCCAAAGGCTGTCACGTAGCCTGAGCCTATGCTGTAACAAATGACACCTCTTATTCGCCAATTGGGGTGGCGACACCATTCATTTTTGCACTCTTTAGCCAAGTCCAATGGCGCCTCCCTTACTGTCCAATCGTGATACATGCATGGGCTGCCACCTAGCCTGCAAGAGTGACACCTTTCATTTTTTGTACATGCATGCATGCATATGTGTAACCCCCTAAGCATGCAAATGTGACACTTAGCAGGCATGCAAGCACAAGCAACCACTACATCAAACTTATTTGCCTATAAATGCATACCATATCATACATCTCTCACACCCACACAAGTCTCACTCTCTGCTACGAAATATTTCATAAGTCTATCATACTCTCTATCTCTTCCTAAGTCTTTCATACTCTCAAGCATTCTAAACAATGGCTCTTCTAACAATGGGCGATACTCACAGAGGCACAAGGGAAAACATTGCTGCATTTGTAAGTCTCTTTTTTGGTTATACATTTTTCATACTTCAAATAACGCGTTGTTCATCTTAATTAATCTTACACCTGTTGAATTATGAACTCAGGACACAAAAAGATTCAGAATTCGTTCGCACAACTACCTGGCTCCCGACCCATTTATCGTCCCTTATCTGGAATACACAGGTTTTGGACATGTGATAAAGATCTCCAACTGCACCATTGACTCGAAGTTCATTCTTGCAATGTTGGAAAGGTGGAGACCGGAGACCCATACATTTCACCTACCAATAGGTGAATGTACCATCACGCTAGAGGATGTGTACATGCTATTGGGTCTCCCTATCGACGGTAAGGCCGTGAACGGGTCGGTTCAACAACCCAACTCACAGTGTGAAGAACTGTTGGGTAGGGATATGGTAGAAGGTGGTGGAGCAAGAGGGCAGGGAATACTACTCACTGACCTGAAACGTCATTATGCAAGTTTAGAATTAAATGAAAATTCCTCAGAGAATGACAGAGTAGTAAAAGCCAGAACATATCTTATGATACTTTTTGGTACATTTTTATTTCCCGAAAGTACGGGAAATAATGTAAATTTTATGTACTTACATTTACTAACAAATTTTGAAAAAACAAGAAAATATAGTTGGGGTTCTACAGTATTAGCCCACCTATACAGTTCCTTGTGCAAAAACGCAGTCAAGGAAAAATGTACATTTTATGGGTGCGCATTTTTACTACAAGCCTGGGGTTGGTGGAGGATGGAGTCCTTAAACCCCGTCAACAACAACACTTTCGGTTTCCCGTATGCAACAAAGTAAGTCATCAAGTTATAGCATTTATAACTATTCTGCTCTTCCCAAAATATATGCTAAGAATAACATGTTTCTCATTTCCTTTAGGTACTGCGTGAGGGGTATGGATTACGGCAAGAATCCAAGATTCAATGTCGCACTCTACCGCAATCTGTTGGATCACTTAGGCCCAGATGACGTACGTCGTAGCTTTTAACTTTTGTTCATTTAAATTATTTATACATTACTTTTGCGCTAACCTGATTTAAATTTTATCGCAGTTCGTCTGGAGACCATATTTGAGTTTGGGCCATGATCCAAACCCAGAGGATGCAGCAACTTGGACTGCAAAGACTGCAATCATTCGGTTCAACATTATGGAGATGCACCACAGTGACCGTGTGAAGATGCAGTTCGGAATGCATCAAGATATACCAAGTGATCCAACAGATTTGTCCCCATGGCATCTTAAAAGGGTCGACGCCCAGTGGGGTCTTACCAACTGGAAAGACTTCGCTCCGGAATGGTGTAAGATGTGGCAGAGGCGTCACCGCTACGTCTTGCAATTCCCGGTTTTCCTTACTCAAGGTAACATGCGACACACGGATCAATATTTGTCGTGGTACAGGTCGGTTAGTAACCCAGAAATGCACATGTCTCATCCGAGGTACTTGGTTGACCCACGCACACAATGGGCACAACCCTCGATTCCCCATCAACAAACCCAAAACCCATCAACCTCCCACCAACCCCCAAGAAGAAACAGACCCACAAACACCCAACCATATTCCCCACCACAACACAACTACAATCAAATGCCGTACAACCAACCACAATCACCACCAAACTACCAATACCCCGATATGCCTCAAACCCAACCACAATACCAACCCCAATACCAGCACACCCACATACCCCACACACAATTTCAGTCTTCCACATATTCCAATATGGCGCCCTCAACATCCAGCCTTAGCCCTGATATGGGAATGCCGGAAGATTATGACCAAGCCGACCAAACCTACCATCACCCACCATATCACCAAACCACCCAACATCCTCAATACCAAACACCCCAAGATCCATTTCCTTTCTACCCCCGTACTCAGACGACCAATGCTACAGACCAACCATGGAACCCCATCCACCACCAACACGACCAAACTTTGAGGGTATGGGTAACCGACTGTACCAGAGCGGATCTTCTAGATATGGAGATCTGACTGATTTTATGGATTCGGACCGCATTGACTTCGCTGGGCCATCGACCTTGCCGCAGCAGGAAACGCGAAGGCACCCAGCAAGAGAAAGGCGAGGACGGGGATGCGGAACCGGGGGTCATTACCGGGTTCCGGGGGATCACTGATGTATCTTCTTTTTTTCCCAGTTTTTTTGTATCCATTTTTTTACTGTTATTTTAATGTAATACAGTTGGATGTAATTATTTTTTTTTTAAATAAAAAATCCATTTTGTTGATCTCTGTCCAACAGGCAATGCACAGGAAAAAAAATATAAAAAAAATTTTTTTTGCCCTAAAAATACACTTAGGCGCCATCTCACTTGGCTTAGGGCATGCCCTAAGCACATAGGCGCCAAGTGAGATGGCGCCTCCCTTAAAAAAAGAGGTGCATGCGCCATTTCAGATGGCTCCTCCTTTGGGGAGTCATCTGAAACATGGTTATTTGCGTATTTTTTTTCGAAACCCGATTATTTGCGAAATATTATTTTAATACTTGGTTATTAATAAAAAAAATTTGATATATCAATTATATTAAATTTTAAAAAAAATAGTTTTATATATTAGAATTTTAATGAATAAGTAAGTCTTATGAAATTGATTTATAATTAACGTGTAAATCATTTTCGTTTAAAAGAATAATTTATTAACAATGTAAACTATTTTTTTATTAATAGCTTAAATCCAAAAATAACTCAATATATATTATTTAACATATTATAATTAATAATGGTGCATTAATTATATAATTACATATTATATTTTTCATATAATCATATATAATTAATAATGGAAAACTATTTTTTTAATATAACACTGATGATAAAATAAGAATTTGAATTATAAATAATATCTGAAAATAAATAATAAAAAATTGAGTTTTTACTTTTTTTTTTTAGAATATAAAATATTTTATTTATTTAAATTATTTATAAATTATAATTAATTCTAAAATATTCATTTACTTAACTAAATTTTAACTTGTGTCTGGCTCGACTTTACAATTTACATATTAATATTAATTAAATTTGAAATTTTGCTAATTCCTTTGTAAAATTAACTTGTACTAAGTAATATTGAGTTGACAGAAACTCTTCTAGAATGTATGACTATAAGAAGCAGCAAAGGATACAAAATCAAATCCATAAATTACTACCAACTGCGCAATGGGTCCCACAATTTAGTTTCGCATTTCGGCCTCACCTTTTCTATACGCGCTTTGCACTAATTGTCATTTCTCTCTTACCTAACTTGAAGAAAATTACTCATAATATTAATCACTATACACATATGGTATACAATTATTGTAATATTATAAAATCACATATGAATGACAAATTCCATTTCAACCTTTGACAATTACACACGCAATACCCTTCACCTTCCACGAACCTTCATTCAACTTTACCAATCTTTATTTAACTTGTATTGTTTTTCCACAATTTTATCACCTACTTAATTTTCTCAAACAATTTCTTAGAGTAACCATGAACATCAACAGCAACAATAACAGTGAACAATCCTTTTGGCAATTCAGTGATCAACTAAGACACCAAGCATCAAACTTAGCAAATCTGTCACTAAATGATTCAATTTGGAGCAACAACAAAAGACCTGATCAAAGAAGAAACTTTGATGTCAAAACCAATGGAGTTTCTGATATCAACAACTCCTTCACTAATTTCAACTCAAAACCTAGTGATTTCAATGATGGATGGAAGATGATGAATAATTCTAATGGATCATCACTTTTTTCCATGCCACATAATAATTCCTTTGCTGGATTTAATAAGGGGGTTTATTCTTCTCCTTATGCTAACAACAACAACAACAACCTTAACCACAACAACGTTAACAATATCAATCTTAGTGGTTACAAATCAGGTTTTAAGGTTGCTGATGAGTTTCAACTACCTAACAAAGGTGTGAAGAAGAATCTGAACAACAATAGTAGCAACAAGAAGCATGGAGATAATACTGATGTTGTCAAAACTTCTGGTGACAAGAAATTCAAAACTCTGCCACCGTCTGAGTCACTGCCTAGGAATGAAACTATTGGTGGGTATATCTTTGTTTGCAACAATGATACTATGGCTGAGAATCTCAAGAGACAGATCTTTGGTGAGTTTTTTCTACCCCTTTTAGTTTTTCTCTATATGATATTGTTGTTATTGCTATAATTTTAGGCAACGATTCATTACAATGAATCAGGATTCATCGAAGTGAATCAAGATTTATCATAATGAATCATTATTTAAGATAAGATTTCTAACAATTTCTATGTTGGCTCAGCCTTAGAGTCCTCTTTAGTTTTTAGAGCATGACTACAATTAGAGACCTTATTTAACCGCGGTCTAATAGTCTAATAGTGTCAGGTGTTTTATGAGGTTCTATTTAACTACGAATTAACTGTGATGAGTTTTGGGTATGTGCGGTAGCCCGCTTTGTATGCCCTCGAAGACGGCCTTAGTCAGACCTTGGTCGTTCTATACAGAACTTTGCTTTGACTATAAATGGGGCCCTTGCAAGTGGACGGTGTGAATGGTCTCCCGCCGATTAGGTGTGGCATATGGAGTTTCCAAAAACTCAGGTCCAATATAGACACATACTAAAGATTGGTATGGATTCGGTTCAACTTTGTATTAAATCAAAGAATGAATCACATCACATGTATCATAAGATACTGAGATTTTGCAGAACAAGTTAACTGAATCATCAATAGTCTTTGTTGTTAGTGTTGATTATTAGAGGGATTCACTTAATTTTTTTTTAGTATTTGTCCCTTTTTTTCTATAAAATTGAACTGTGAAATTTGGTCTCTAAATTATTTGTTTTGTTGGTAAATATTATAGGTCTGCCTCCAAGATACAGAGATTCAGTGAGAACAATAACTCCAGGGTTACCCCTTTTTCTGTACAACTATTCCACCCACCAACTCCATGGTATTTTTGAGGTATGTATCATGTTTACTTGTGCACATATCTTCTATGATATGATTATATTTAGAATCAATCTTCTCTCATCAAATATTTTTACTTGTTATATAAAACTAATATTTGCTTTTGTTTTGGATTTTTAGGCTGCAAGTTTTGGTGGAAGTAATATTGATCCAACAGCTTGGGAGGATAAGAAATGCCCCGGCGAATCTCGTTTCCCTGCTCAGGTATAATCACCAATCCATTTATTACCATTTTGATTAGGTTTACTTATTTGAGCTTATTTACATTATCATTTATTTGACCTCATTTCAAGGTCTCAAGGTTCGAATCCCGCTAAATGTAAATAATCTATGTGTTAGGTCAGTTCATACATAGCTTTGTTAATTCAAAACTCATGAATTTTCAAACACGATGTCTGCAGGTACAAGTGATCAATAGAAAAGTTTGTGAGCCACTAGAAGAAGATTCCTTTAGACCAATTCTTCACCACTATGATGGTCCTAAGTTTCGTCTCGAATTGAGTGTGTCTGAGGTAACATCATCATCAACTTGCACACCGTTGATTTTTCTATGAATGACAAAATAGTTTTTTTTTTTTTTTGAACTCTCTGAATTAAATGTGTTTTTATTTTGATTTCAGGCGCTGTCTCTTCTGGATATTTTTGCAGATCAGAATAGTTTCAATGATATTTTCAAGGCTATACCAGCATAAAATGGTAGAAGTAAAAGAGAATACAAGAACCTTAAGTTATGAAGAAAAATAGAAAATGAATATTGTGGGCTTGTAAAGAAGGTCCTAATATATGACAATGAATATGGTGGAGGAAAGATTGAATATTCAGCCTATATATGTATAAGTATATGAGATTCAATGTTATGTGTATATACAGGCTGTTATGCCTAATTTCCCCCCTTTTATTGTGAGTGTATATGAACATACATAAAAGAATACAATAAGAATGAACTAATTTATCTTATGGCCTATTATGTACTCTAATTTATCTTCTTTGCATGTTGATTAACCTAAGCCATAAAGCATATATTCACATGTGTTTTGCCCAACGTTATACTCATGATAGTTATGAATGTTTGATTTCATCTTTGGAGCATTCAGAATTGACTCTGAATGTTTAAAATTGATTATGACATGTTTGATTGTTCTTGAGTATAATTGATTATACTTTTTAAAATTGATTGTATTTGAAGGTATGATTTATTGTTTTTGAGTTTAAACGTGATTTTTATATTGAAATTTATCATTCAATTCACTTTTAGCACAAATTTAGTAAATATAAATCACTTTATATTCAAATCATTTTTAGTCCGAATCAATTTTACATAATCAATAACACGATGAACCCTTTACTAGAGTTTCGATCAACGAATGCGACTGCCTCCATGCATGCTTCTCCGGCGAGCCCTGGAAAGATGTGGCGGATGTGGATCTTCAGGAAAGGAGCATCAAGAGGATTAAGGATCATTCCTCACGTAAATCTCCTGATCAAAACCTTAAAGCCAGAACCTATGTGGAGATGGTGATGGGGAACGATCAAGATGAACAAGAAGAGGTGGAAGTAGTAGAGGAAGAGAAGGATGATACAGACATGCATGAGCTTGAAGGGATGAAAGTGGTAGAAGAGACGATTGAGGAGTATGAGTGCCCGACATTTACATTGACGGAAACTGAAAAGAAGCGGATTTATCGACCTTGGAAACGATGTGTGATAATGAAACTTCTTGGAATAAAGATTGGTTATAAGGCTCTTGAATCAAGGCTGAAGCAGATGTGGGTGAGGAAAGGTGTTATCAATATTATAGACATTGGCAATGATTATTTTTTAGTTGCATTCTCTCATGAGGAAGACAAAAAAAGCTACCATTGTAGAAGGACCATGGTTTATATACGATCACTATCTTACAGTTAAAAAGTGGAGGCTAAACTTTGAACCTTCGAGTGACATCATTGATGAAGTTACAGTCTGGGTTAGGGTATCTGAATTACCAATTGAATTCTATTATGCTAGGGTTCTTAGTGGTGTTGGTAATTGAATTGGACGTGCAATAAAGACTGGCAAGAATACCATTAGCATGAAAGAGGAAAATATGTTAGGTTGTGTGTTACTGTTAATCTTTCCAAACCCTTGGTTTCTATGTTTAGTATGGAGGGGAAGAAATACAAAGTGGAATATGAGGGCCTTCATTTGTTATGTTTGACCTGTGGACGGTATGGACATTATAAAGAATGATGTTCAACTAAATTTGTAAGAAATGAAAAGGTTGACAGAGATGAAGCATGCAAGGTAAGAACTACAATAGATGGATCTCTAAATAGAAGACAAAGTGGAGAGGAGGTAGGAGATGGACCTTGTACGGTTGTGCAGAAGCCAAGGCGAGGGAAAAAAGCTGGTGATGGAGGAAGAATACAATGCCAGCAAAACCTTCTGAATATCACAAGGGAAGCAAATCCCGGGTTGAGGCAATTAGTGATATAGGGGAAGATGGTCATGAACCAGGTCGTGGTGATATGGACCATGCAACTGGTGCTAATGAATGTCACATCAACCTAGAGGATATAGTAGAAGAGAATCTTGTGGGAGTCAACGTGAATTATGGTTTTCCGAAGTATTTGTATAACACGAGCATCCTAAATAAGGAGTCTCATAACGTGAATGTGCATGAAAAACAAAGTAATTCTGGAAGGAAGTGGAAATCTGCAGCGAGAAACAAACAAGGAAATGAGGCTGAGACAAATAAGAATGAACATAGATTGGGAGTCCGAAGCACATTGAGTTTTAAGGATAAGAGTAGAGGGAATAAAAAAGGAGTCTAGAAAGACTAGTAGGAGGATCTTGTGGGGAAACAAATGGAAAGTACTCAAGTGGAGAAATTGAGGAGAGAAAAGATAACAATGGGAGATGATGCGAGTACTTGGAGCGAGGAGAAGGGTGAGAATGCTAAGAGTGCTCATGCATGCAATATTTTTGTTCTTGGAACAAAACCTCTTGACAGAAGTTTAGCGCTTGAGGATAATATTTATGGATATGGTATAACAAACAAGGTGGTTAATCTTACTGGTTGTGACAGTACTACATCATAGGATACAAGAGATTTGTCTCTAGGGTCTCAGGAAAGTCATGGGGTTGTTGTTGAGACTAGTAAACAATCTGATAAGTGTGTCGTTGGGCTCCACATCTGGTTCATAATTTTGTTGTTTAATGATAAATGTTAATAATAAAAATTATGTCTGGAACTGTCAATGAGCAGGCAGTAATGCATTATACTGGTATTATAAGCATTATTGTGGTTTGTACAAGTATGATATTGTTGTAATGATGGAAATTCGATGTGATCCTACAAATCTTAGCCAAACTTTTCAGAGACCAGGGTTTTGGGATTATATTGCTAAGAATAATAGTGGGTTTGCTGGTGGTATAGTAGCAACCTAGAAGAAGGAGATTGATAGTGTTAGGTTGCGTAAGAAAGAGACTCAATTTATTCATCTGGATGTGACAGACCAGAATAAAAAAGAGTGGCTTTTTACAGTAGTCTATGCTATCCCTGATGATAATATGAGGAAGATTCTTTGGGAAGACTTGAAGATTATTGTTGTGAGTAATCAGGCCCCTGGATGCTTGCGGGGGATTTCAATAACATTGCTAGTATGGATGATAAAAAAAAGGTGGTGCTCTAGTTTCTGTTAAGAAATGTAAAATGTTTCGTGACAGAATTCATGAGTGCAAGCTTCTTGACCCTCTTGCTGCTGGCCCTAGATTTGCTTGGAGAGGTCCTATTTTTCACGGAGGTCAATGTATCTATGAAAAGTTGGATAAAGTCTTGTTCAATGAGACTTGGAATATTGATCATGCGGATGCTTCTGTGAAAGTTTTGGCTAGAGTGGAATTTTCTGATCATCACCCCTTACTGATCACTTTGGTGAGGAATAACTTTAACCCGGCTATTCGCAAATTTCCGTTTGAGAGTTCTTGCATGCTAGATGAGAAGTACAAGTAGATGCTTAAAGGTAGCTTGAATAAAGATCATGATATTAGTAGCAACATTTTATTTGTTAAAGAAGATGTTAGTAAGTGGAAACTGAACCAAAGAAAGAGTCTATTAGAAATGAATCAGGATAAATCATTGGTCGATTTAAACTAAACCAGAAGAGGTCTTGAATTATCTTTAACTTGAGACAAATCAGAGAAAGCTTAGGGTCGATTTAACTGAACCAGAGAAAGAGTCTACCAGAAACGAATCAGGATAAATCATTGGTCAATTTAAACTCAACCAGCAGATATATTCTGAGAATGACCTTCTGAGGAAAATGATGAAATAACCCTTCGTCAAATGTAGTCTTTGAGAAGATTGTCAGGTCATATAAGTAGTTGATGATGTTTGTCTCTCGGTTGATCTTTCCTGAAAAGGTAAAGAGTCATCTGTATGCAATGTCATGATGGATAAAATGCATTACGTAATGATGTTCTCAAAATAAATGAGATTGTGCTATATGCGTTTTATATGCATATACTATGACATTTGGTAAATGATGTATGAATGTGAAATGTTAATGAAGTGCATTCGTAAATTTGAGCAGCATCTGAGTCTTGGGAAAATAAATCCATGAATATCGTTGGGGATAAAGAGTATGTGTAATATTCAATATTTTGAGGATTGTTTCCACTGGGGAATCCTGTTTGCTGTTTGAGGAAACTCCACTGAGGAACATTGATTTTTGCTTTGAGGATACTCTGTTGGAGAATGTTAATTCCTGCCTGGGGAGAATAGTTCGAGAACATTGGTTGTTCATTTCTCTACTGGGGAGTTTATACCCTGACTGGGGATAGAAGAGATAGATAAGCTTTCGGCTCGTCCGAGGAAGATGAAGTTGACTGATATCTGGTCTGGTTCCAGGTTCTATAGCAACCCTCTGGGGATATTAACGACTTCACTGGGGGAGAGGATTTTAGTCGGTGATTTATGGTAGAAGCACACCCAATCTGGGGAGTATTTAATGAGTCTTAAAATGATATCCATATTTGGATTGTATCTGAATCGTATCTAGAATGAGTGTCAGAATGAATCTATATCTGGATTGTATCTGAACTGTATCTGAAGGATGTATTGAATGAGTATCAGAATGACATCTACATCTGGATTGTATCTGAACTATATCTGGAATGAGAATCTAGAATGAGTGTCATAATGAATCTATATTTAGATTGTATCTGAACTGTATCTAGAAGATGATCTGGAATAAGTGTCAGAATGAATCTGTACTTAGATTGTATTTGAATTGTATCTAGAAGAGAGATATGGAATGAGTGCCAGAATGAATCTGTATCTAGATTGTATCTACACTATATCTAGAAGGTGATAAACTGTTTGGGGAAATGGACCTTGTTGATGGAGAAATACTCTTGCTGAGGAAACACCCTTGTTAAGGAAATGAACTCTGCTGGAGAGCAGATGTATGAAGGGGGTTTTACAACCTTAGAGGAACAAGCTCATCTAGGGAAGAGAAACTCCATGAACTGCACTGATTGGAACTTCATAGGTTGGTGAAATTTTTGGGGAGAATATCATACTTCTTTATCAGCCAAAGTGATCTACCATGGAAATTGCAGGGAATGTATGAACTTTGTGAAGATTACTCAATAAGGATAATCTCATGGAAGTGGCTCTGTGGGGATCTGTGGATACTTGAACATACCTCAACTTCTAGAGCCTTTGGGTGAATGTTGATCAGGACGATAAGTCTTCTACTGATAGACAATTGACAAGATGATGGGACATGGTCGTACGTTTTAATCGCTGACTTTTTCCTGGACTGTCCTTTCAGATTTTCAGTCCACCGGGATAACCTTTTTTGCCCAAGCCGCCTTTTCAGGTTTTCGACTTTCCAGGTGTACAATATTTTAATATATATCCCTAATTTTTGCCCGTACCATTTTGGTTCGCCGGGACGCCCTTATTTTTTCCTAGGCCAGTCAACTTAGCGGGTCTTTTTTCATGCGTAGTATTTTCCGACTATGTCCGTGTTAACAAGGTGAGGAGGATCATCACTATCCACTTCCAGAAAATGTCTTCTTGATCGCACGTGATCCTTGGCTGGAATTCATGCTCAATGCCCCAAGTGATTCAGATGGAGGTCTGCCCCTGGCTATTCGACACTTTTGAGAGATTCCTTGAATCTTGACTCGACTGCCCCAGATCATTTAGACACCATATCACGCCCCTTGATTATGAAAGGCCCGTTACTGGAAATGTCTTTCCATCTGAGGTGATTCTGTTCGTTGAGAGGATTTTCGTTCATTGAATATCCGTCGCGCGAATTTCTCTGATGTCAAATAATTAGTCATATGCAAACAATGGTATTAAAAATGCAAAGCTTATGTCTGTCTTGAAGTTTTTTAAAAAATATTTTTTTTAGTAAAACAAAATTTGTGAGAATGTGATATCAACTCAGGATTTATAGCAAATCTTATAGGAGTCAGGATACCTTTTGTAATAGTATGCTTTCGAACTAACCCATGCTTCAGTTACGACTTTTAAGGGTTGTAACGTAGCCTAATTCACGGTTTAAGAAACAAAGGATAAAGGCTCAAACTTTATTTGTACCCAACCCGTTCTTCGTGATTTTCTTCAGTCCTATACTCAATTAATTATGCGTTTAGATCCCAATTAGTCTGGAATGACATTTTGGTGACGGTTCGGATACTGGAAGTTTATTTTGATGAGGCAGTCATTTTTTGTAACATTTTTTCTCTTTTTGTTGAGGATTTATAGATACCTCCTTTTTTTGATTTTATTATCCCTACCTTTTACCCGAACTGTTTCTTTTGTGATTACAGTCAGCGAGATGCCCCTGTTTTTTTTCTTTAGTCTCCTTCATAGGTTTTGACTTAGCAAGCTTTTCTTTTGAGATATAATGACAGCTTGTTTTAATGATAATGTGGAACCATCACCATCTTTTTCTTTTGGAAGGATACCTCCGACACTATTCATCGTGTACGAAGGGAGAGCTTGCGATTGAATGCACCATTGAATTAAACTGAGAAACTACCTTACCCCAGGTTATGATTAAGGGTTTCAATTTGCGTGAAAAAGAAAACTCCTACTTCTTAGGCTCAAAGGGGTTGACTAGGGATTATCTTCCTTATAACTCCACTGTTTAGGATTTGAAACAACGTCTGTACATCATCAGTAAGGTATTTTCAAAAGCATATTGTAGAGATTGTGGTATCTTTTTCGTCATCCTCCCTCTAAAGGCTTACATCTTTTAACCGAGAGTTGAATATCATAAAAAGGAAGTAAAAGTATAGTTTCAGTATAGTGAAAACAAATGGATTAATTCAAGACAAACATATGCAATGCATTAATGGAATAACAAAGTTTGACATAAAATAAGTGTTCGATCAATCAAAAGAAGTTAAAATTTGAAAATTCTTATGAACAAAAAGCATCTATGTATGAACTTGTCACTTCAGATGGTGTACCTTTGAGGGATGGCAGAAGAATTCAGTCTGACCATCTTGTGTGAACTCAAACACTCCTTCGCCAATCAAGTCTTGAATCTTATTTTTCAATGCCCAACAACTATTAGTGTCATGCCTAGGACTATTAGAATGATAAGCGCATCTCACATTAGGATTGTACCGAGGAGAGGAGGTGTTGGGATTCTGAGGAGGATTCTTCAACGTACACTATGCCAAAAAAGACCTAAGAAAGCGCTTTTTTTGCCCTTTAGCAGCGCTTAAAAGAATTGCATATGGTGGCACTGCCGTAGGTATAGACAACACTTTTTTTTACGCAAAAGCGCTGCCATATGTATTCTTTAGCAACGCTTTCCCCTGGAAAAGTGCTTTCTAAGGTAGGCCTCTAGCAACACTTTTTCCTGAAAAAATGCTTTCTATTGACCCCCTTTAGACAACGCTTTCAAAAACGCTGTCTAATGTATTTTTTAAGGCAACTTTAGGCAGCGCTTTTCTAGGAAAAGCGCTTTCTAAAGTAGGCGTTTAGCAGCGCTTTTTCCTAAAAAGCGTTTTCGTTGCTTCACGTAAATTTAAGCATTTTTTTATGTAAAAACGTTGCGTATTCTTT